CTATACAGATACAGATACAGATACGTTTCCTCAATCACGACCTTAAGAAAAAGCAGCCAACAAACCCGTAATTTTTTTAATGATTAAACAATGGCTCATTCAAACAAAGACTTAATATACATGTATGTTTTTGCCTGCGGCAGTATAAAGCAATACGCAATGCTCAAAGTCATTTTTAGTTTACGCCTTGTTAAGTTTTGCACTTAGCATACCAAACATGTTTCATACAATGCTGCAGCCGACGCGATGTTGAACAGAATACTGAAGTTGTAGGAATCTAGTTATGAACTGACTTCAATTAATATAAACTTAATTGCCTTAATTAGAAGTCATCATGGAATACATTTATGACGCATCACAAGTTCTGTAATTTAAATAAATGTAATGCTGTGGAGAGAAAAAGTCACAAATGTATGCACTGTGAAAGCCTTACCCAGACACACGGGTTCTGATCCCACCCATGTGCTGTTGCCCACGTTGCAGTAGTAAGCTCCGTCTTTCAAACCGTATGCGTCCCCATAAGGGTTGGAGACTGGCCCCACCAACATGTCGGCTTCTGGCGGGCAGGTCACGGTACAGCGGCCCTGTAGCACTAGGGGGTTCCGAGACCACGGCCTTTTCACGTCAGTGTAGGTGTAGTCACAGCTCACGGTGACGTCATCAGTGTCCCACGGGAAGTCGCCACAAGGTGTGGGGCCTATATGGGGGATACGTGGATAGTAGACAAAACAGTTAGCCTCTACCAGAATATCCATGCTGCTGGAAAATAGTAGAAATTTCTCCAAATAGGCTGAATAGTACGTCAGAGTAATTTAAATTGAAACCTAGGAAACCATACCATTCCGTCTATTGGGAATATTTCTGCTCTTCTCCTGTGCAACCTACAGGCTAAAACGGTGGCGGCTGTTTAAGGTTTGAGACTATTACTTTAACAGCAAATATAGATAACAAAAGTACACAACTCAACAGCAGCATCAAATAGCTCAAGTGGCCAGAGTGTTTCAAATGTTTGCACAGTTGACCACTTTTCCAACCTGATGGACAAAAAGCTTTAGAAAACGTTCGAGTTTTGTACTAGTTATTAGTTAAATCTTTAGAGTCGATTCAGGAAGAACAGGGCTAGCTTGGTTACCAAACCTATTATAGCAAAGACAATGTAGAACTCGGAAGCTATAATAGGTTTGGTAACCAGGCTAGAACAGGAGCCTTTGTACGGACAGTTCGTCAAGTAAACAGAACTGCACATGAGGCACATGTTACATCGGATCCGCAAATGGTCAACCTTCGTCAATCGCATCCAGGACATGCTTTAGAGATCAGGGATATCAAAGTTTAGCATGGATGGAATAATTGTTGTGATAGTTACCGGCTTCGAAAAGAACCATGGAAGATGTTATAATAGGAATGACCGATTTAAAGCAAAGACTCGCCTTGTGTCCGTTCTGCTGCACAGGCCAGGCACATGGTGCGGTAGTCACTGCTGCAGCGCCAGTCATTGTCCGGACAGGGCCCCCGAACCACCCGGTCTATGGCGTCATGCAGAGTCGCGTTCTCCCATTGGGGAAGGGTCTGGGAAACCACGAACTTGGGGACAGTGGAGGGGTAGAAGGGGTGGGATTGGCGGTAGTGGTACTGTAAGGGACTAACCCATGAGCTACTAACGTCTCCACTTGTTGTTAACCGGTAGGCCGCTGTAGCCAGCCCTTCCCTGAAACCCAAGTTTCTACACGCTAAGTCGGCCCAGGACATTCTGTCTTGACGGTAAGCGCTCCACCCCCTGACAGGCCCCCACTGCCGCGTGACGTCATCGTACAGCTCCACACAGCCGTAAAACTCTCCCCCCACCAGCCGGACCGTGTTGGTATCGTCCGTGATGACGTTGGAGTTGTCGTAACCACCTGTGGCCAACACAAGTTTAAAAATGACTTATCATTTTTTAACTTAGAACTATAAAGTGATAGGCTAAAGAATTAGATGTGATACGTCAAAAAGTAGTTACTCAAGCAACTGGATATGATTTTGAAAACGTCAGACGTTTCAGCTAGTATCCACTACCTTTCGTCAGTGATAACTACTTTTTGGCGTATCTTATTACCTGGATGTCTAACCTTCATCGGCAAATTAGATGTGATGTTTGTAGAGAGTCATAGGAAATATACCATGAGAGAGGTTGGTTGATAGAGGGCCTTAGAGGTGGATGGATAGGAAAAGAAACGTATACCACAGATTGTTGGATGAAATAAGTATCAAGCTTCTTACTTTCTGTCTGACTGTTTTAAAACGACACGTGTTTAATGGTTGTCAATTTAAAAAAAAAATTAACAAATAGCAAGGCCTTACCCAGACACACGGGTTCTGCTCCCATCCATGTGCTGTTGCCCACGTTGCAGTAGTAAGCTCCGTCCTCCACGCCGTATCCGTAAGAGTCGTCAGAATAGGGCGGACCCACCAACATGTCGGCTTCTGGCAGGCAGGTGACGGTACAGCGGCCCTGTAGAACTATGGGAGGTTCAGTTGAACCCCACTGCTTCACGTCAGTGTAGGTGTAGTTACAGCTGACGGTGACGTCATCAGTGTCCCACGGGAAGTTGCCACAAGGCTTGGGCTCTGTATGGGGGAGGTATCGATGTCACGTTAGACAAAACAGCCCTGTAGAAGACCCTGTCGACTCCTGCTGCTGCAAAGTCTGCAACTTACGCGGAAGCTAAACACACTGTCTACCAGAATATCCATGCTGCTGGAAAATCGTAGAAATTTCTCCAAATAGGCTGAATAGTACGTCAGAGTAATTTAAATTGAAACCTAGGAAACCATACCATTCCGTCTATTGGGAATATTTCTGCTCTTCTCCTGTGCAACCTACAGGCTAAAACGGTGGCGGCTGTTTAAGGTTTGAAACTATTGCCTTAACTTAACAGCAAATATAAATAACAAAAGTACACAACTCAACAGCAACATCAAATAGCTCAAATGGCCAGAGTGTTTCAAATGTTTGCTAGAAACTTGAGCACTTTTCCAACCTGATGAAGAAAAATCGTTTGAAAACGTTCGAGTTTTCTAGTCGAATATTTAAACTAGTCAAATATTTAAAGTCGATTAAGGAATTCGAAGAAAAGGACAAAGTCACAATGATAATTGGGAGTGCCTTTGTAGGGACAGTTCGTCAAGTAAACAGAACTGCACATGAGGCACATGTTACATCGGATCCGCATATGGTCAACCTTCGTCAATCGCACTCGATAAACCCTGTTCATCCAACTTCCGAGTTAATAATATGCCTTAAAGATCAGGGCTAACTTTAGCATGGATTGGAATTTTTTTGTGATAGTTGGCTTTGAAAAGAACCATGGAAGATGTTATAGGAATTGTAAATAAATATTGA